GCTATTTTTTGGTTGCAGCTGTCATTTTTGTTTGGCCAGCCCCAGGCTGTATTCGAACCCACCAGCTTAGGTGTATATGGCTGGTGCCTTAGCCACTTGAGCCATAGGTGCTGAACATCTTTCTCTCTTTTTTTAAGAGACAAGAGTCTCACTTTGTCACCTTCAGTAGAGTACTATGGTGGTACAGCTCACAGCAACCTCCAGCTCTTGGGCTTAGGCGATTCTTTTGCCTCAGCTTCCCGAGTAGCTGGGACTACAGGCACCTGCTGTAACGGCTGGCTATTTTTTTGTTGCAGTTTGGCCAGGGCCAGGCTCGAACCCACCACCCTCAGTATATGGGGCCAGCGCCCTACCCACTGAGCCACAGGCACTGCCCACCTCCCTTTTCTGAAGCAAGTCCCTTTTAATTAAGATCCCTCAATTCTCATAGGATAATCATGTAGGCACAGACCTATGATTCTGGATGTCTCAGAACCCGACAATAATGACACAGGCACACACATACGCACTACATTCTTTACTCTGCTCCTGTGTAAAATCAGGAAATATCCACTTATCCTATCTCCTGGCACTTTTAGCCACACTGCCCTCTCCCTGGGGTAGCATCCTCTAAAAACTCCTTTCTTGGCTCCCATAGCTACCTCTGGACCCTGACTCCACCCTTGTCCTCTACAGGAAATGGGTAGTGAATCTCCAAAGCACTCAGGTTTGAGACTTGATGTTATTTACTCGCCTTTATGTAACTGGTCTACTTCTCCAGATTGCCTGCCACCACCTAGTTCCACCCTGGGGATAACCTACTTTCTGACTGCTTAGACTAGCAGTACAATGAGCCAGTGTGACACCACTTGAGTGACCAGAAGCAAAAGGAGGCCTCCCTTAGCCACCCTTTCACGGGGCCCTATAGACCCTGATACCTGGCTCTTGTGAGGTAAGTTCAGTGTGTGGCACCCCTGACTCTCCTCAAAGATGCATCCAGTTTTCTCAGAGAGACCATGGTACATGGCACATACGCATGTCTGTACACACATCTGTGCACACACCCGGACTGAGGGGCTTCCCAATCTGTTCTTGGCAAGTGGTAGCCTAGGAGGCTGTCAAAAACAGATGGCAAGGGGGTGGGCGCGGTGGCTCACGCCCATAATCCTAACACTCCAGGAGGCCAAAGCAAGTGTACTGTCTGAGCTCATGGGTTTGAAACCAACCTGAAAAAGAGCAAGACCCCATCTCTAAAAATGGCCAGGCACTGTGGGAGGTGCCTGTAGGCCCAGTTACTCAGGAGGCTGAGGAAAGAGAATTGCTTGAGCCCAAGAGTTTGAGGTTACTGTGAGCTATGATGTCATAGCACTCTATCGAGGGTGACAAAGTAAGATAAGACTCTGTCTCAAAAAAAAAAAAA